GCGGATCCAGACATTGAGCTAAGAGGGGGACCCGGTTTTGTTTTACTTGCCCTGCCGGTTCTTCTTCCTTCAGTCATTTCTTCTTTTTTCACCCAAAATAGGGGGGGAGAGGGGGGGGGCGGGCCCCTCCCCTGGATCCGCCACTGTCTTTAACGCTGGGTTTCGAGTCGTGCAAAACTGCCGCCTCCAAACACGGTAGTCTGCTCGCACGCTGGCCCTGTTCGAGAAGAAGGCAACAATACAACAATGTGAATATTATAGTGTTTAGTTAGAACAGGAATTAGATAGAACTCGTGCTGTGTCTGACGACAAATCAAGAAAGCAACCAAATGCATTCGTGAAAGTTACCTGATTCAGCTTTCCCGCCATCGCTGATCCCTCAAAATGTGAATATACAGGATGCCAAAGTTGCTCTGCAGTCCTGAAACAATAAACCGTACAATGCACCTTATGCTCACCGCAAAACATACTATCCATCCGTGTCCACTGTCAGCAGCCGTATGCTTTAGATTGTCCATACCCTAACATGGACTGAAATTTCTCTCTTGGTTGATCTTGTTGAAATCATAGAAAGGTTTCGTCATCGTAGAGCACTACGCTCGATGTAAGGAAAACAAAAATGGAAATTCAGCAGACGGACAGTCAATGTGCTCTGCACCTGACTTGCTTTCACTGCACGTGGCTGTCTATAACTAAATCGAGCGCAGGTTGCTCTTTATTTTGGGCTCCAAAAATGAGTAACCATACAGATGTAGTAAGTTTTGGACTGCAAAAGGGTGTGTAAGACCACCCCCCTCGTTTTCTACGAGCGATGGTAACTCGCTCATAGAAAACTCGCTTGCTCTTGGTGCCCGAACGTCACTCAGGCAATTGCATGATCACGCGATCTGGGTTTCTGCTTTATCAATGCGATACAGAGATGACAGAAGGTGAAAGTCGCTCGTTTTGTCAAGTTTGTGCTGTAAGTAACGAAGACTAGAGGTACGACATTTTGCGACACTCATCCCCAGAACCTGAGCGTTTTCAGTTAGTCTTGGTGGTGAGCGAACGCGTGACGCGACGCTCTTGTCAAAACCCGCAGGAAATTCCCGAGAGAACGCAAAGTTCGATCTCCGATAGCTGAAAACACGCCGGCTCTGATATGGGGGACGAAGTTGATAGCTGCTAGCAAAAAGGAGGAAAACCAGCTTGCTCGACTTAGATTTACAATGTAATTAGAGTTAGTTCAGATCTTATTACAGCATATAAGTGATTTGAATTGGGAGCGATAAGGTTCTTGTATGTTTTTTTGACTTCTTTGCTGTTTTAATCATGTCACAAATTCTACTTACTTCCGATTTGCTAGTACTGCGAAATATCAGTCAACAACTGCATTGCTAGATAACATTGCTTCCAAACTTGTTGATTTTGAACACTGATATGCCCATATAAACAACATTCTGGACAAAAATAATTCCTCAGTGTTGCACTGAATCTTTTTCATTCTGAGTGATTCATGAGAAAAGATGCGTGTAACCTGGAATATACCAGGAGGCGCAGAGACATTCTTTAGGGAAAAAGTGATTCGCGCAGTTTTTGTGTTTGCATTTTGTACTTAGTAGAATGAAATAACAAAGAACAGTCGTGGCCTCCACATTACCGCAGGCCATTTTTTGTGAATCACTTCGGTTGTCAATGTTTCTCGATTAAAGTCATTCCATTTTGGTCAGATATAAAATTTTCATCTATATACTTCAAACTTATTTTCCTTCAAATCCAGTAATCCTAACCGTAAATATCTAGAGTAAATCTTCTCTACTGAATGGGAAAATAGTTTATCAAGTGAACTGAAAAAAATAAAAATAAAAATAAAAAATAAATTTTATAAAAAGTACGTTAATCAGAAAGGTCAAAAGTACTGTGCCAGGAGTTAAGACAGTGAATGACAAATTTTATTTCCCTCAAACGAAACCGAAGGGATGGAATTTCAATTTCAATTTGTACACTGCCAGAAATTTAAATTTATATTAGTAGGAAAATATTTAATATTGATTTTTATATATACACACCTTTTGTTTACAATGGAAGAGAGGCAAATGGTTCCGTTTAGTTTCAAATGTTCGCTGATAACGAAAGCGAAAAAGATTAATCTAGACCACCGGAAACTGAACATGTGTAATAAGGTTTCTTCGTTTTCTTGCCGACAAACTGTACGGTTTAAATTTTGTTCCGCTTGGTGACCTTGTTGTTTAATAGCCTGATAAAATGTTTTAAAGAAAAAAGTAAAACGAAAAGTAGTCTTTCCGTTATTTAAATCATCCACAGGAACATTAAACAAAAAGAACGAAACTCACAAAATACATGAAAACTATTTACGGTATGAAAAGGTTCAGCCCAGTTACAAAGGGTTGAAACTCTGATTTTCACCGTACAGCAACCATTCAAAGGACATGCTGTGACCTCGTGATTTCCCACAGCGACAGAAAATTTCCAGCGCTGCATGTGAAATAACATTTGTAAATATCGTTTTGTTTTGACATAGAATCGCTTATCTGCCGCAAATTGATGTAAATCTAAAAACAAAGTGTAATTAAAAGTCGTCTTATGTATGCTAGGACGTCACTAGAAAAATGATAAACATCTTATTTAATTTTAAAACAGCTGAGAGCCCAACATGAACTTGATGAAACTGCTGAGCCACTTTTTAGGCGTTAAAATTTCCAACACGTTTTTCTAGCCGCTTATTCCTTATTTCTTTTGAAAGTGAAAATTCTCTTATCTATATTTGAACTCTCTCGAATGATCGACAGCTGTTTTTTATAAGATCATTAAAAAGCTATATATAGTAGTTTGACTCTGGACCTTTTTCAACGAAATTTGCATTATTTATTGTTAGTATTCAGGGTATTTGGAGGTGCGACAGTTTTTTTGATTTCGTTCTGTTTCACTTGCCTTAACTTTTCAGGTTTTTACACCGAAAAAATATTTCCAAGGCTATGAGTCTTTTTGTCCCTTCCTCTCATGGCCGAAGTTAAACTAGGGTGTAACAGCTTGAATCACGGCTGAAGTCGCAGTTAATACGACGATCGTTTTCGTAATGTCTGCGGCATTTAATACACTGAAAAAAACAGTGTATACCACAGAAAGCAAATTGTCATAGCCGTTTTGTTTAAACACAGGAAAACCTGTGTCAAGAACTTGTTTAGTGAAATTGGCATTAGTTATAAAACTTGGATCAGTGATATTTAGTTCGTCTGTACAGCCGAGTGTACATGTATAATAATTTCCGATTCAAAGTCTTTAAACTAGGTATTGATAGGGTTGTGAATTTCGTTGGTAAACACGTTTGACAATAAACTAGTCGGAAATACCTTTTTAGTTTCAATTATTTATTGAAAAACAAACAATCATCGAAGGTTGTTTTTCCTCATAAATGGTTACAAAAGAGAACTAAAGCCCACTCATTGTTATCGAAGGTGTATAACAGTTTTCTTTTACGGGGTAGAAAGCATGGCGTATGATCAGCCAAAAAACTTCATCCATTGAACTAAGATGTCAGCGTTTGCGACATATTTGTCTTCTTTTGATTCTTCGCTTTCCAACGTACTTTCCTTGTTGTTATTCCAATCGCTTGTGTCGGTCCTATCCGCAACTCGTCCTGTTAAAAATGCTGTTTTCAACTCTGGAAGATTGCATTGTCGCTTGCCATCTTGTTTGCTTGGCGGGAACGATCTTGGACGGCCCGCAGAAATCGGCTGAATGTTACACGGTTTTGAATGTTGCTGCAACGAACTAAAAGGCACGGGTACGAGAGAAGACTTTCGCCTTCTCACTACCGCTGTTTGAGCTGTCTGTTCATTATCGTTTTGCGGTTGCCGTGCTTTGATAGTGCCAGATAACGTTTTCACTGCTGGGCATGTGACAAATTTTGTGGTCGGTTTTCCTTGACGCTCTTGCGAAATTCCAAGTTGACCCACATTCTCGGTTGTGTAATGTATCGGGTCGGAATGCCGTCGAGGCCCGGGGAAATCGGGAAATCCACTTTCGCGAATTGAATACGTTGCTTCCATGCTTTTCACCGAAGGTCTTTTGTCAAAGTTATTTTCACTTTCATTGCTGTCACTCGAACTTAACGATAAGCGATGAATAATATGTTGCGTTGTGATTGCACCTGGTTCCGAATATCTGCGCTTACAAGGGCTCAGTGTATTCGACGAACGTCTTATTCTCAAATACGAGCCGTCCCGATAAATTGCGGGTAACGACATTGTTCTAGGTCGACGGTAACAGGTCGGCTCATCATCAATTGCAGTGTTTTCTACCTCTGTACTTGCGGAGGTGGACAAAGACATGCTGTCGTCGCCAGTCTCGGAGATTGTCTTCAAATGAGTCGTTGGAACTGAGAGCCGTCTGTCTGCCAGTCGCGGGTGAAAAATGTTTCTTTCATTGCCGCTGAAAGGATACGCGCTTTTACCCCCGAAGATACTCTCGACCATGGTTCACTCCGTATCAACGTGGCAGATTCCTTGATCTCAGTTACATCTAAAGACTGCCTCCGTCAAAAATCCAACAAATCAGGTCGGGTTATCATGTCAAATCTCGTCAAGATCTCTAATCCAAAATGTTCCCTGTAAAATGGGAAAACCACAACCTCTGCTTGCGAAAACCACAGGGTAGAAACAGAGTGAATCGCAGAGAACAGGCTCACAACGTTCACGGTTCCACTGCGAAGTCTTCCTTGCGGTCGGATCTCGACTCATTGCATGCTTATAAATATTAACCATGCGGTTAAGCCACACATAACATTAATAACAACAAGCAAAAGTGCTCTTTTTTTAGAACAGAACCAGTCAGCCGTAGTTCATGTGGCAGAGGTACTTTACGGTTGCGCTATCGTGTCGCTGGCTTAATGATATGTAAACACATAGTACTGATAATGAGGTGCATTTCACTCATTTCAGTGTTCTGGGATAACCCTGTCATTGTGGAATTACCGTTTTAAGAATTGGTTCATCAAAGAAAAGAATTCTTTGATTAAAAAAGGCTATTTTTGAGTCCAGCTCATGCGAAATGTTTACTTATCGAAAGCCAGGTGATTTACTGGGCAGAACATCATCAGGACTAAATCCCCGAGACGTTTGTGACTGTCGAGACTTGTTTGTTTGCTTTCCTCTTTGGTGAAAATAAATTTGAAGAAAAAAAGAACACACCACATTTTCGTTCCGGGGGCAATTAACGATCGATCAGGTGAAGCGACTTGAATCAAATGTCTTTGTTCAGTTGGTAACATGTTCCGACTGAAAGAAATATGCGAAAACAGAAGTGTGAATGGCCAATTCTGACATCAAAGCATTAGCCCTTTGTTATGCTTTCCGCTGGAGTTAACGCCATTTACACAGCCTTAAGTCGCGAAAAAATATTATTGCTAAGCCAAAAAGCTGAAAGACAAATGATTTCGTATAAACTAGGATAAAAGACAGTAAAGAGATAAACTTTCGTCAATAAAACCGACACGATCCCGGCAACGCAACCTGCTCTCAGACATGCAGCCGTCAGATCTTTATGATTATGTCTTTTATGATCAATCAAGCTTTAAATTTTAATATCTCCCTCAGTTCTAAAAATATCTTGACACAAATTAGGTCGACACGAACTCGCAATTTTATGAGCTAGCTTTGAAAACACTGGTGATTATTTCAAACATTCTTTTTTAACTTCATCGTCAGATTGTAGGTATCGTAGAAAGGGGTTTGAAAAAGAGTTTCCTTGTAAACGTTTGTTATATTGATGAATTGACAGTTACCTTGGAAAAACCTGTTCAAGTTAATTAACGAGTAGAGATACATTGGCTTTGACAAAGTTTTTCTTGTAATGGCTAACAGAGGTCCTAACATTGCCTGAATTTCTGGGCGAGTAAAGTTGTAGAGGATCCAACGAGAAGATATTTGGCATGCGCAGTTGGTTATTCATCAATTGCAAAGTTTGATCATGTGAATGCGATTTTCTCTGACTCAAACTTTGTCAGTGATAGTTTGCAATCCGATAGGCCGATTGCAATCTTTTCTGTAATTCACAACCTCGTAGACCCTCGTACTCAAGGCTATCGCTGACCATAATGAACGAATGCCCTGGGAACGGGTATTGCTCATAACGATCTCGCAATTATCAGTGAAAGGCAAAACTCGTCTTGTACATATCAATTATTAATTTTCTTATTTATTTCTCCTGTGTTTGTGTTTTCGTGGTTACTTCATATTTTGAGTGATCAGGGGTCCATCAGCCATATTGGCACCAAGGATCTAGGAATAGTCGTATCAAAGACCTTGCTATGCAGTCGAAACTCCCGTAAGCGACCACCCAAAATGTCAAGCCTAGGTGGTCGCGTACGGGAAGCTTAGACCATAGTGGATCAAACTTTTGCCTCATTAGCATATTGTGACACCAGAGACTTACCCTTGTTTTAAACTTTTTATTCATGTCAAAAGTCAATCTCGAAAAAAAATCTGGTTTCTCATTGAAATACTTCCGTCTCTTGTACTACCCAGGAATACGACAAAGCTTCACCACCTTATTATATAATTTTCGCTCTATTATCTGTGAAGTGGTCGCTTATGGAAGGTTAAAAACAAAAGAAAAATTTGAACTTTTAGCTCTAAAAGTGGTCGCTGTCGCTTACGAGAGGTGGTAGCTCACAAGAGGTTCCAAATATAGTGATTTGACTTGGAAACTTTTGGCATCTTGGAAAACTGGTCGCCGAGGAGAGGTGGTCGCTTACGAGAGGTGGTCGCAACCGGAGGTTCGACTGTATCCAAAATTACAATCTTAGAAATAGCGGCAGGTTTTTCAAGCAGTATTGTTTATGTAACGAAAACAGGGACGACTTTGACTTACAGCACACTTTCACGTAAGTTGAATAGAAATTTATGTGTAAATGCTTGGCAAACAGGTGGGAAATTATCATACAAAGTTACCCCAAACTGGTCGAACTGGAAATTAAACAAATAAACATGTACATTTGTAAACTATATTTTCTATTTATGATCTAGTGTGATGCTTCAAAGGATTAATTACTGACGCAACGAGATGATAATACTGATGATGATGATGATGATGATGATGATAAGGGAGACCTTGTGGTTATCAAATCTAAAAAAGAATCCTGACGGATATACACCTCAACATCAGCTGTTATCTCGCTTATAAACTGCTTGCTGTAGTCCTCTACGATATCATAAATTTTATAACATAGTACGCGTAATAATAATCGTAGTTACTATGGCAACCTCTCAGAACAAAACCATTAAACGAGCTACATGAAGAGCGTTAATTAAGAATTATGGCTGAGGTAAAGTAATTAACTGAAAAATACATTTTTGATGTGAAAGCCGTCATTGTACAGGCCTGCAAATGATCCCGGCCCTCAAATGATCCCCAAATTGTACCGCAAATGATCCCAGGACCGGAACTGATTCCACCGCAAATAGTTAGGAATGGCGTGGACTCTATGAAAAGTCTACGGATGGAGATATATTTTATTAAT